CGTTGTGTATCTGAGGGCTTGCAGAGTGCACACACTTTCACTGGTGCAAACTAAAAGCGATTTAGGAGTGATTTGTCCAAATTAGGAGCAAATTAAGATCAGATTAAGAGCAGATTGGGGTTTCTGGCCAGCAGCCTCTTCAGGTGAAGGAGTGCCAAATGAAAAGTTTTCATCAATAAACACAGTAAACGAACAGAGTAAGCACAGTAAACAGAGTGAGGAGTGGAGACTGGCTCACCTCTCAGCCATTTTGACTTAAAGAGCAATTACACAAATCGTCTTACACAAGATAATTAAAGCAAATACATTCAATTCCTTTTAGCCCATTAATCTATCAGCGCTGAGTGAAAGCTGCTTTCAGGGCCTGTTTCCATCCTCACTTCTGCAGGAAGCTCTACTGTAATCCACATTAACCGCACTAATGCAGCGCACTGTAACTAACTATGAGAACACAACCTGCAGAGGAAGAGCAGAAACATCACTGAATCATCACCGAAGAGACACATCTCTGAGGAGAATCATCTCTGAATCATCACTGAGGAAAATCATCACAAAATCATCACTGAGGAGAATCGTTATTGAATAATCTCTGAGAAGAAAGATCAATAAATAATCTCTGAGGAGAATCATCTCTGAGCAGAATCATCTCTGAGTAGAAACATCACTGAATCATCACTGAGGAGAATCATCTCTGAAGAGAAGCATCTCTAAGGAGTATCATCTCTGAGCAGAATCATCATTGAATCATCTCTGAGCAGAATCATCACTGAATCATCTCTGAGGAGAATCATCACTGAGTAGAATAATCACTAAGAAGAATCATCTCTGGGGAGAATCAACTTTGAGGAAAATCATCTCAGAAGAGAATCATCACTGAATCATCTCTGAGGAGAATCATCACTGAGTAGAATAATCACTAAGAAGAATCATCTCTGGGGAGAATCATCTCTGAGGAGAATCATCTCTGAAGAGAATCATCACTGAATCATCTCTGCGGAGAATCATCTCTGAGGAGAATCATCACTGAGGAGAATCATCTCTGAGGAGAATCATCACTGAGGAGAATGATCACTGAGGAGAATCATCACTGAGGAGAATCATGACTGAGGAGAATCATCTCTGAGGAGAATCATCACTGAGGAGAATCATCTCTGCGGAGAATCATCACTGAGGAGCATCATCACTGAATCATCTCTGAGGAGAATCATCACTGAATCATCTCTGTGGAGAATCATCACTGTTATCCATGATGAATCTCTGCCTCTTAAAACAAATCTAGGCTACATTTACATCTCCAATAAGCATTTAATCTGAAATCATCTCCCATTAGCATAAATAGCTATTAGCCTCTTACTTCTAAAACCCAACTACATCCATGCTTTATGCTTCATAATACATAAACACACACGTCACTATATGATCATATTCAGCTCATCATGATTTTCATATTTATATTGTATTTAATCGTAAAAAATTGATAGAAAATTTGTTGTTTTTCCAAAAGTATCATCAAAGAAGGCTTAAGTAAGTTATTATTATTATTATTATTATTATTAATAATATTTTCATGGTGGAGACGAATCATCGTGGTGGAGAAGAATCATCACTGAGGAGAATCATCACTGAGGAGAATCATCTCTGAGGAGAATCATCACTGAGGAAAGTCATCACTGAACCATCTCTGAGGAGAATCATCACTGAGGAGCATCATCACTGAATCATCTCTGCGGAGAATCATCACTGAGGAGCATCATCACTGAATCATCTCTGCGGAGAATCATCACTGAGGAGCATCATCACTGAATCATCTCTGCGGAGAATCATCACTGAATCATCTCTGTGGAGAATCATCACTGTTATCCATGATGAATCTCTGCCTCTTAAAACAAATCTAGGCTACATTTACATCTCCAATAAGCATTTAATCTGAAATCATCTCCCATTAGCATAAATAGCTATTAGCCTCTTACTTCTAAAACCCAACTACATCCATGCTTTATGCTTCATAATACATAAACACACACGTCACTATATGATCATATTCAGCTCATCATGATTTTCATATTTATATTGTATTTAATCGTAAAAAATTGATGTTTTTCCAAAAGTATCATCAAAGAAGGCTTAAGTAAATTATTATTATTATTATTATTATTATTATTATTATTATTATTATTATAATAATAATATTTTCATGGTGGAGACATAGATCAATACAAATGTTGTGCGCATCTACATGTCTGCTTGCATCAAATTAACATAAAATCTGCACTATGAATATGAA